TGAGCACTGAGGGTGTCTCCATCTTTTTGCTATTGTAAATAGTGCTGCTATGAACATTGGTGTGCATATATCTACTCGTGTTATGGCTTGTTTTTCTGGGACTGGACTTCTTTAGGTTGGGAGGTTTTGATGACCTGATCAATTTCTTCTTTTGTTATTGGTTGTTCAGGTTTTCTGCTTCTCTTTTTAAGTTTAGGTAAGTCATGTTTTTCTAGGAAAATATATCCATCTCTTGTAAGTTTTCAAATTTTTGGAGTACAACTTTTCAAAATACTATGTTATTATCCTTTTGATTTCCTTTGTTTCTGTTGTTACATCACCTGAGTGGTTTCTAATGCATGTTATTTGTACTTCTCTATCTTTTCTTTTGGTAGGTTTGCCAGTCGTCTGTCAATTTTGTTAATCCTTTCAAAGAACTAGCTTCTTGTCCTGTTGATTCTTTCTATACTTTTTCTGTTTTCTATCTCATTTATTTCTGCTCTAATTTTTAATTATTACGTCTTTTCTTTTGGTGGCTGAAGGTCCTTTCTGTTCGTTTGTTTCTAATTTTTGTAGATGATGTGTCAATGTGTTAATTTCGTTCTTCTTTTTGGATGTGTGCATTTGTTGCAATAAATTGTTCTCTCAGCACTGTTTTTGCTTTGTTCTAAAGATTTGGGTATGTTATGTTTTTGTTCTCGTTTGTGTCTAATAACTTTGTGAGTTAACGTTTAATTTATTCTCCTACCCAGTCGCTTTTCAACAGGGTGTTATTCAGTTTCCATGTATTTGACTTGATTTCCTTGGTCTTCCTACTGTGGATTACTAATATGATAGAATTGTGGTCTGACATGATGATTTGTAGTACTTTGATATTTGTATATTTATGGAGGTTGGTTTTGTGGCCTTACACATGGTCTATTCTGGAGAATGTTCCATGTGCACTGCAGAAGAATGTGTATTATGCAATCATTGGGTTGAATGTTCTGTACACATCTATAAGGTCCAGTTGGCTGATTGTGTTGTTTAGTTCCTCTGTGTCTTTGCCAAATTCCTTTCTGGTTGTTCTATCCATTTTTGAAAGTGGTGTATGAAAATCACCCACGATTATTGTAGATTCGTCTATTTCTTTCTTCAGATCTATTATACTTTGCTTTATATATTTTGGAGCTCTTTCATTGGGCGCATAGATATTTATTATGGTGTGTCATCTTGTTCAATTGATCCTTAATTCATGAGATATTGTCCATCTTTATCTATTATGCTGGTTTTTGCCTTAAAGTTTATCCGAGATTAGTATTGCCACTCCTGTTCGTTTTTAATTGCACTTAGCTTGGTATGTTTTTTCCATCCTTCGACTTTTAATCTGTTTTTGTCTCTGTGTGTAACATGTGTCTCCTGCAGACATCATATTGAAGGATCTAATATTCTTATCCATTCTGCCACTCTCCAACTCGTAACTGGTGCATTTAATCAGATTATATTCAGTGTAATTATTGATATGTGTGGATTAATTGCTGCCATTATATTTTCTCTTTTTTGTGGTGTTGCTGCTTTCTTTGTTCTATGTGTCTTCCTGTGCTGAGTTCTAGGTTTTTGTGTTCTTCTTTGTGAGTTTCCTCATAGTTTTAACGTTTCCATGTTCTTCTTGGGGTTTCATTTTCTTTGAGGTTACCTTATATTTCATTAACTTTTCTCTTTATTTAGTGCAGTCTATTTTATCCTGTAATCTATCTGACCTTCTCATCATCTGGATCTCTGTTCCTACGTGTTTACCTTCTTTCAATTCTAATTGTTTTGATCATACTCTGACCTCCCAGATCCTCTGAGTTTGTTCTTAGAGTTTTGTTCTGTTCTTGAGTCTTCCATTTGTCAATTTAGTTCTGGGAAGTGCTGCCATGTATGTCAATCTCTGGCTGTTGTCTGTTCTTGTTGGTTCTCAGTCCACAGAACTCCATTTAGGATGTTTTGTAGCACAGAGTTGGCTTTCGAAAAATCCCTTAGCTTCTGTTTATCCTGGAATGTTCTGATTACACCATCATATCTGATTGATAGCTTTGTTGGACAAAGGATTCTTTGTTGACAGTTTTTTTCTGTCAGGGTTTTATATATGTCTCCCTATTTCCTTCTTGCCGGCAAGGTTTTTGCTGAGAGATCCAAGCTTAATCTGATTTGCTTGCTTTTGTATGCAATGTTTCTCTTTCCCCTAGCTGGTTTCAGGATTGTCTCCTTAACTTTGATTTTGAGAGCTTGATTATGATATGTCTTGGTAATTTTCTTTTGGGATCTATACTTCCTGGGGTTAATTGAGCTTCTTGAGTATTTATCTTTTCACTTTTCAGGATGTTAGAGAAATTTTCTTCCAGCAGTTCTTCAACTATCTCCTTTGTGGACTTGTGTGATCCTTCCTTTTCTGGAATGTTGATAATTCTTAAGTTATTCTTCATGTTATCCAACATGAATCTTAGACCTTCTTCAGATTATTTGTCCTATTTTCTGCTTGGTCTTGTATCTTAGTGGCATTGAAAAATTTGTCTTACAGCTCACTAGTTCTGTCTTCCATCTCTTCTATTCTACTACTTTGCCCTTTCAGTGTATTGTCTATTTCTGATAGTCTATTATTAATCGTTTGAACCTCTTTCTTTAGGTTTTGAATTGTTTCCAATCCTGTATCTATCTGTTTTGATAGTTCCTGTATCGCTTTCTTAACTCTTCCTTATTTATCTCAACTCCATCGTAAAGTGTTTTGAAACATTTCATAATCATTTTTCTGAATTCATTCTCAGGCATTTCCAAAGCCTGCCTTCTATCCAGAATGTAGTTCAGGTCTACCTCATGGTCATTTGTCTCAGACATTTTATCTTGTTTCTGGGCATGTGCTTTTGCTTCTTAGATGTCTTTATTGTTTATCTGTGTCCTTAATACTTAATTGTGTGTGTGTTTTGGTATTTTTTATGCTTTCTGATTGCCTCTAGGTAGATGTGGTCAGAGGTGAGCTTCCATTTTCACTCTTCTTATTGCTTAACTCAGAGTAACTTTCACAGGTTTTGTCAGCCTCCCTGGTGTATGGAAATTAACAATGGTTCTTGCCTGGATTGTAGAGTTTTATAAGGTGTGATTGTAGCTTGTCTATATTGCAGGAATTGCTGTCTCTTCTTGGGTAATATAGGGAGAGAAATAGTCCCCAAAAGGTTAAAAGGGGAATAAACAACAACAACAAAAAAAAGCAAAAAAAAAATTATATAAAAGAAAAAAAAAAAAAGAAGAAATACCCAGCAAACAACAAAAACAAAAACTAGATTGCATATTGTCATCTATAATCATAGAAAAGGGAGACCAGTGAGAGAGAGAGAGAAAAAAAGAATCTGTAGCCTAATATGAGTATGATTTTAATATCCTCTTTCACCTTCTTGCCTTCAAGGCCACCTGATAAATTTTAAGATGGCACTGTTGGTTGTCATGCTGCAGCTCAGGATTTAATTTTCTGCCTATTTTGTCTTTAAACTCTCTCTCCCTCTGCACTCCCCTTGTTCTGGCCTTTTTCCTTATTTATAAACAGTTCAGGGCTGGCTGCTAAGTTGCCTGTTTCTGCAAATGCTGAGAGTATCTGTGTGCATGCATGGCAGAAGAATCCACCAGTGGTTTGGGTAAGAGCTATCCACTTGCTAAGGCACCCCCTCTAGTCACCAGAATGGAGGTGAGCAAACAGTGAAAGGCCAATGAAAAGGTAGCAAATAAAAAATCAAAACAAAGAAAAACTGACCAAGTATTTTGTCCACTTTTGCTCCGAGGTTCCCGTGGCGTTATTTTGTGGTGGATCTATCTGCTTACTCTTCCACTTGGTCTTGCCCAAGTTGTCGGCTCTAGGCCGTGGTGCCCGGCAGATACTAAAGTACAAGGTTTCTTACTTGTGCTACAAGTTCCAGTAACTATAAGCCTTCAAACATTTAAAATATTCCTAGGTATATCGTTCAGAGTTTTGGGGTTCTTCCCTGAACCCGCTTTGTCTAGTATTCTGTGGTATTGCTGACGATGAACTTCACTGCACCTCTACCCTGTCTGCCATCAAACCCTGCCTCCTCTACCTTGAGATTTTTAACTGGATATCCTTTTGTAACCTTTGAATTCTCAACTATATGCCTATATGAAGTATTATAAAGTATAACTATTTCAAAATTTATTTGGAAAACATCAGTCCACTGCCTTTCTGGTCCTTAGGATTTAATAGTGACTACCAGGACACTTATCAGCTGCTCCGCGGGAGAAAGATGAGGCGTTCTGCTCCCTTAAAGATTAACAGCCCCAGAAACCCTGTACAGGGTCGCTATGAGTCGGAACAGACTCCACAGCACATAACAACAACAACAACAACAGCAACCAGGACAGGATAGAAGACAGAAGAGGAGAATCTTTGTTTAGCTACTTTGAGTTTCTGTTTATAAGGATTGAACTATGGCACTGAATTTTGGTGATAGTTGTATAAAATGATTGATGTAACTAATTTCATTGAATTATACAAGTGAAAAATATTGAATTGACATACTGTGGTACAAAAGCTGAACACAAGTGTGTTTTGCAAGCTTTCCAACCGCTAGTACAGTCCACTTCCACCCCCTGCAGCAGTGACTGCATGATTCTCGCTGCGCCCCACTCTGCGCAGGTGCGATGGGCTGGATGATGGACACACTGCAGCAACATTAGGGGGCGGGGCTGGACGAGCCAATCAGAGGATTCATTTCTGGGTGGCATAGGCGCCATTTTGTGAGTCACACTATAAACGGCCCCTGGGGGCGCAACCATCCAGTTGTGGCTCAGGTGGCATCAGGAGCAGATCTCTTCAGTCTGCCTCACGCTGCTAACTTCTGCCCCCTCTAACGTCTCCACGGGAGAAGTAACTGCCCTCTCCCAGGCGCAGAGTCCAGCCGAGCTACCATAAGGAGGCTCTGCCCCCTCTGTGGAGGCTCAAGGACTAGCCCAGAGCACTCCTTCCCGCCACACAGCGCGGCCCAGCTTCTGAGGCCATGAGTTACAGCCGTCCGCCCATTGACCTGGAAAGCATGACCTCCCTGAAGGTGGACAACATGGCCTACCGCACCTCTACCGAAACGCTGTGGGGCATCTTCGAGAACTACGGCAGCGTCGGCGACGTGTACATCCCACGGGACCACTCCACCAATGAGTCCCGAGGCTTCGCTTTCGTGCGCTTCCATGACAAGTGTGACGCCGAGGACGCCATGAACGCCATGGATGGCACCGTGCTGGACGGCCGCCAGCTGCGCGTGCAGTTGGCTCACCACGACCGCCGCGGGCCGCCCCCACGCAAATACCGAGGCGGAGCCTA